GTGACGGCAGCGGACCTGCATGACTGACAGTTGACTACGACATATTGCAACATCCTCCACAGCCATGTCACTCGCGAACTGGACCGACATGCCACCAGTTCTAGCTATCACCGAACTGCCACTGGAAGTGATGGTAGCTGTGGTCACATCACTGAAGAAGTTACGTCGGGTATCAGGAACAAACGTGTGGCTTCCCATCAACTCGACCATCTATGAAGCTGGCGGAATATCAGCCTGTTAGTGAAAGGTAACGTATATAATGATGCGATAAGGGCGGTTGTAGTGTATGGATCAGAGATATGGCCAGTTCTTACTGTAGACACTATGCAGTTGACCGTGTTTGGCCACCGGTGCTTGCGAAGTATTGTTCACATCTGGTGAGAACGCCTGATGAGCAATGATGAGATCCGCCGGTTAATTTTTCGCAAGAAGCCTTCTGGTGCATTTTGGGTTTTTGCTTAAACGCAACCGCTTACGTTAGTTAGATCATGTCCTCCGTATGCCCAATGCCCGCCTTCCTCGGTTTGCATAATGCTCCGTCGCAAGTTCAGCGAAACCACGAGGTGGCATGGAAAAATTACGCGAAGTACTTGGTCAGACTGCTGCGTGCCCTCTTCTTGGATGGGGTCTTCGGCAAGGCTCACATCAGTGGTTAGAAATTTTTATCGGGTGTAGCTCAGTCAGCGGCACTCCTGTTTCCTGTATCTTGCTTCTGGTTGCTAATGTTCATTCGATCCCGATTGGCTATGTATTACCTTAGTTCCATCTTGCGTTTAGCCCCACTTCCTTATCATTGTTATCTTTAGTTATTCTGGTGATGAGACTTGTGGCAACCAGATCTACCGCATTTGGGTACCCGGATCACAGTGTACAACTGAATTAAACAGATATGGTCTCAAGTGCGAAGTTGCCGGGAGGTCAACTTTCTCAAGAAAAATCATCATTTCGACAAAAAGCGATTTGAACCAGTGGTATGTAGCCGAAGTCTCAGCTCATCCCAAAAGCGTCCACTTCCATCACGTGGCGCGTGGCTTGCCGCCATTTCTGGTTGATCTATAGATGTCCCCTGATTTTCCCACAACTTGCACTGCTTTCAGTAGCTGATCCTCCTACATGTTTAGTTTCGGAGCGTTGACTTCTGTCTTTGATTGCTATTAGAGATTCTAGGGAATAAGATCTTTTCAACTAGAGTACAGCCGAAATAGGCAGACCTAACAACGAGGAAGACAGCGAATGGGCATACGGAGGAAATTGCCCAAAACCAGCTTCACTGGCTGAAGTCTAAAAGTCGCTCGGCTGAGACAGTGTAGTTTTTTCTTCCACGCCCCAGCCAGTGGACCTAAGTATCGCTCATCTGGTGCTCCCACCGATGACTAAAAACCGTTTCGGTCACCGAGTGATTGCATTTCCACTTCACAGCAACACCTGCCTCACGACAACACCTGCCTCTAACTACTTGGTTGGAATTTCACCATCTACATGAATCAGCTATTCTCTAGGTCACACGGGTCTTGCCAATACATGCAATAATTTCCCCAACTATTTGACAACCAGAGTTAACAAAGCTGCTAAAGTAGGTGATGCGAGGTAATATTTCTAGTGGCTGTTCGGTGATAGCTAGATTCGGTGGCATATCGGTCCAGTCATGCAAAAACACTTTACGCTTTGGATTTGCTAAACACATGCTGAAGCGTGCAGCACTACGCGTCAGTCTACTAAATAGGGCCTGCATAGCCACGGCGTCATACCCAATGTGAGCTGTCGTCCACATTCTCACGGTTTGTCAATCGGTTACTTGGCAGAGCTTTCTTTCCAGAAGGGGCTGAGAGTACATAGTGGTTTCTGATCACTTCGATCGCAAGGTCGTAGAGGGAAGGAGATTGGGTAACCCTGGCGAACCACACTTGTAACTTCATATAATCTCTTAACTGGCCTTAGGAGTCGCGTTGGGGCGACTTCTGCATTGTATAGTTTCCCAGGCACTCCCTTCATGGATGCGTAGTGCTACAAGCTGCCACGACAAAAGGGTCCAGGTAACTTTCAGGTCAAGGAGAACCACCATAGTCGGTTGTCTGTATACCTCTGTATCAATATTTGACGAAGGGTGATGTGGTCGATGCAACCACGACCTTTGCGAAATCCAACCTGTACTCCGCTGATTAGACTTCCACGGTACCAGTGATTCTTGCAGTGTGATACCTTCGTAGCAAATACTTTGATCACCTGTCTATCATTTGACCATCAGGCCTGTTAGAACCGTTTCTCATCCTCGTTTCGTCTTCACTACCTTAGTTTCTACGCATGCACCAGTTAAAGTTACACACCCGAGTCCCTAATCCCGGATATTCCACGTGACACTATTCTCCTGTCTAATCTTCCTTAATGTTGACCATTTTTATTTGGCTCTGTCTTAAGGATTCACCAGGGTGCCCTCAGTCTCACAATGATTACACGCTCCTAGATGTATCCGACTTGCAAATCCACTCTGTCCATTTGGCAGCAGCTTAGGGTTGCCGTATAACCGGCTGGTAATGCTCTGTCGGTGCTTTCGGATAGCTTTTGAAGCACTGATCCTCTGTGGCTCCATCTGCTGTTCTGTATGTCTCGGGAACCCTTGAGGTTTTTGTTTTTTGTTGCCCTACATTTGTTTACTATTATTTTAGATTAGCTTCGACCTAGTTTTGTCCAATTTTCTGTGGTCTATGCGTTGCACGCCTTTCCAAAACGAGCGGTCGCCCACAACTAATAAGAAGTTTGGGGGAATACAGATAGGGATGATACCTCATTAGTTGCCACAATGTCGTTTAGCGCTCACCGAAGATGGGAAAGATAGTTGACGGCCGCTAGTCTGAAGATAACTCTTCGATGTCCAGCATAGCGTCAAACAGGGCAGCTAGACTAGCACAATGCGTCATCTTCATTTGTCAACGAAGATGGGAGGTCTTCTTGTCCTAGTACCTTGCTTTACCTCAGCAGATCGAGTCCACGTCAAATCTGTTTCCAAGTTGATGTGGCATCAACCACGTATGTTCAGATAACACAGCAAGATCTGCTGCACTGCTCTTCAAACTGCTGCACCCAACTAAATGTTTTACGCGCCTGGGGGTGAATAAAATGTCCATCTTTTTCAGCTATTGTTCCAATAATGGTATTTTTCTGCACCGATGTTTCAGATGAGTCAGTACATTACTCCCCTGTTTACACCAGCATTGTCATCCTCCATCTCATACGCCCTAGCTTCTATCCAACATTCCCGGTCCATTCTAAATCTATTCAGATATCACTCCTTTGTATTACGGACATGCTGAAGTAGAACACCTGGTGGTACTAATTTACGTGCTTCGATGAAAACGATGGAATTTCAGAAATCTATCCACAGTTAGATTGGCAGCAGGCTTCGAATGCACTCTGCATTGCACTTCATAGGTGGTTCTAGTCGGCATCCGGCTCACTAACCTCGTTCGTCAGTGATAATTAGTGGTTCAGTTCATTCGCTCATTTACTCTGCACATTAGCTAGGTGTGAGAAACACCGCAGCTATTGTGTCGCCATACAGTCCAATCAGGTGGCAGTAGAAACATAAAAAGTAAGGAAAACTGCGAGAAAATTTCTTTTCGATAAATCTCATCAAGCAATTACAATTATGAGATTTTGTTGTTTTCATCCCAATAGTTCACAAGTTACATAGCAGAACCTAGTCCGGAAAAGCGCCAGACGCGTTTCGCCCTATTGGGGCTCGTCAGTGGTGCGCATTCCCTCGATCCTCCTCCTAGGATCGAACCCATGACCGCTAGAGGCAGGTGCCAACTAGCCAGCAGTTTAAGCCACTGAGTCATGGGGGGACGTTGGCTGGGCTACATAAGTTGTAAACTAACTGGAATATAGCACCACCTATCTACCACTGTCACTGACAGTGGTTAGCCTGCTAGGTGATGACGTCCTCTCACTAGACGTTATATCCACAGCATTTTGAAACTAGGAGAGGCTATTTATTTTATGTAGCCCAGCCAACGTCCCCCATGACTCAGTGGCTTAAGCTGCTGGCTAGTTGGCATCTGCCTCTAGTGGTCATGGGTTCGATCCTCCTTAGAGGATCGAGGGAATGCGCACCACTGACGAGCCCCAATAGGGCGAAACGCGTCTGGTGCTTTTCCGGACTAGGTTCTGCTATGTAACTTGTGAACTATTGGGATGAAAACCTTAACAAAATTACAACTAAAATTCTGCTACTTACCAGTAATTATGCGATTCATAATCATTGGTATAGAAGCTATTACTAGCGATTCGGCCATCTGTCGTGTATGCTGCGACTGCAGGAACGGTGACAATCGATGTCAATTTGAACCGCTACCATTGACCACTGCGACTGAAGTCAGCTGACTAGACCATGGCCACGGTGGGGTTAATCTTTGCAAAAGTACACGCTTTTTACACAATTCCAGCTCGAGTTTATTGATCGCAATCGCTTCTGTTGTAGCCGGTTGGCGCCTTCTGTGTCCTTTTGGACATCGTTTTGATGCAACACACACTATGTTGTAGTCATCTTTCGTTTGTATGTCATGTCCACTATCCACCAGGTGTTCTAGGATGGAGCTATGAACCTATCTGGCACTACCACGTTGTAATGAAGCAGCTACAAATTAGAGGATTTCCATGCGGTGCATTTGAAGTGCCATACGCGTTTTCATACTAACTATTTGGGCCACCTCGCCGACATCTGTTGACGCTTGTGCCGATGTTCACTGTCAGTCTTGCTGATTCGTCTCCTTCTCTTCCTATTTTTTTCTCGAACCATTTAGTGGATCTTATACAGATCCAGAGATTGCATTGTGTTTCTCTGGCGACCCGCATTATCAATTTTTTAAAAGCTTTGCCACGGTGTTTCATTGCTTGCTTCATTTTTTTGAATATTCGATAACCCAAGAAGTGTTGCATAACCCGCGCTCTCCCGCATCCTCACATACTTTGCTGCTTTTTTTCATTTGTTTTGATGTGTGCAGTGTTGCAAGCGACATGTGTGGCGCTCTTCGGTCGCGTCTCGACGCAAAGTTGATAGGACATCGGACAGAGGTCGAATTTCCCTAAGAGGCCATTCCAGGTCGAGCGCTGTTCCATCAGATGTCGCCCATCCAGTGGCAGCGATCCCTGAAGGCTCATTACGGCACGTATTTCCTGCTCCAATGTTCATTCCCTTGATGGACGACCACGAATCCACCTAATTTAGTGAGTCGTTATTGTACCTTTTTGTGTATTGCACCTCATAACTTGCAAGCCTTTTTGCCTTGTTTTAGGTTTTCGTTTTATTTGTCCTACCTGATGAGACTGGTCTTCGGATACTACTACCCTCGGGGTATATGTGCCCCCGCCGTTGTCATTTTGTCAAAATAACCCGAAACTAAACACCGCCGATATTTGACGAGCTCTTGTATTTTCTGAAATACATCGTAGATCTCAAGGTGGCTATTCATATGTCTCTTTTCTCTCTTTATTTTAAACCATTCGATCCTTCGCACGGTAACGCATATCGGCTCATCTGAATCAGCACTTCTCGGCTCTAAACGCCAGCACAGTAAAAAAAAATCTAGGCTTTACAAATCGTCTTTCACGATAACTCACTTTGGTATACGCCTGTCATCATCAACAGCAGTGCATCAGCCGTTTGAACTGATGTTTCGCTGCCGTACGACCACAACAACAATCTACGGATTGGAAACTAGCAAGTGGGAGAAAAGAAGGGCTTATCCGGGGGTCACCGAACAACGGTTCACGACGTCCGTTCATTCGGACCACCGAATGAACTCGAATTTGCTCCATAGAAACTGTGGAACATGAGATATTATGATACCCTTTACACTTTCCACTAGCGTAAGCCAGTTTTTGGTTGTTTCATTGACGCTGTAGTATCTTGCTATCTGTGACGCCACATTGTTGGGATATTGATGTGAATAAGCACACACGAAATCTGTGCATTATATTGTGTTTCCCTTCACACCTCTGCGCCGCAATTTTTGTTAGACCAGCTCTGTTGATGCACATATCATATAAAACGCCACGTATTAAAACATTCTTAGTTTGTACGTGTCATTTCGAAGCTTGCTATTTGGGGGTGAATTGCAACTTGTTGATAGGGAATTGTATTAGAAGCCCAAACTTTTGAGACTCCTACATATTGCTATTAATTATTGCCCGTTAATAATACTGGTGTCTAGCTCCCACCCTGTTTGTTCATTTGACTCAGGTAGTAACACCTTGCTCAAGCTTTGCAACTGCATCACCGGTTACATATATATATATATATATATATATATATATATATATATATATATATTGTGGAATCCTCACGGCCAATGAACTGAGCCCTTTCTATTCGTTTCCAGCATCCGCTGAGGTGTGTCAGTAACCCGCTCGCCCATTTATTGATTGGCTTAGTTTAGAATAGTGGATCAGTGCGTTGTATAACATGCCTTACGTATGCCTGACTTGTTTTGCTTTGTGCGACTTCGTCTAAGAGCCAGCCACTGTACCTTGGTTTTGCAATTGCTAAACTGTGACATTTGGCGACGGAGGTTGAACTTGGAATTAATTACTGTGAGCCATCTTACCCCGCTTGATCCTTTTTGGATGGATACGTCGTCCAAGTCATCCCTAGCAGTTGGAATCGTTGGAAACGAACGTTCTGTGACTACATTGAGCTTTTCCCAATTACACACCCCTACATCAAACTTATTGAAACCCAGTCTATCAAACTACTGAGAAAACACCTCGGTGCGGAAGGTCAACGGCATTTTGATGCGTTGCGTTTGTACTAAAGCACATCCCTGACGGACTGCTTCAACGCCCTGGATAGCCTTTGGGAGCCGCGGCAACATGTTTTTACTGCGCGCCGAAGTTTTTCTCATTTACGACGGAGAAGAAGAGTGTTAATGAATTCATCAGTCGTATACAACAGTGACTTTCTGACTGCCGTTACGATGAAATTCCCGCAACGAAATTCGAAAAGACGATGGTTGACATTCGAGACGATAGAGCTAGAGAATGTCCGCTGTCAGAAGAGGAGAATAAATTCACTTGGGAAACAGCCTGCTCACTGATCAGATAAAGGAAAAGCGTTGTGCAACAATTAATTCGGTATCGAAGCAATTCTCCTTCAGGTGCTGTCCATGCGGTTAACTCTCGACTATCACCCACAAACAAATGTTTCTTTACTTGCTACAGATGCGGCGAGGAGCGTAAACGGGTTACTGATTGCAGATACAAACAGTCTACTTGTCATAAGTGCCGAAAGGTCGGACATATTGCATGCGTATATCGTTTGACTGTGCTTCAACGACCAATACCCCGCCCTGCCCAGGGTACTGTTCAAGTTGTGGCAAACACTGACGATCCGACCTCCTATTTAATTTCCAACGCAACCACATCGCACGCAATGGGAACATCCCCGTACACTGTTGGTTTAAACATTGAACGCTAGTCAGTACGTCTGGAGATCGATAACCGGGCCTCGGTCACATTGATCAGCAACTGAACTTTGCCCGGCCTTATTCTGACTCCGGCTCAATCTAAATTACGATCATACACTGGGAAAATACTCGATGTTTTGGGTGTGTGTAACTTGAAAGTAAATTATGGGGACAATACATTGACTCTTCCACTAATCGTTGTTAACACAGACGGACCTAATCTGCTTGGGAGGAACTCGTTAAAGTACATGCCGAGATATTACAATCTGTCAAGAAGGTGGACAACATTTCTGACTTACTTACACTCTTTAAAAGCTTTGTCAGTATTTTCGATACAAAAATAGCTGGAAAATTACGTGATTTCAAAGCTTGCTGGCATGTCAGGACACAGACTCAACCGAACTTTTACAAGTCACGGAGTCTACCTTTTGCAACCCGTCCGAAGGTAGAGTTAGAGTTATAGCGATTACAAAAGGACGGAATAATTTCGCCCATACGCCACTTCCTGGGCTGCACCCATCGTTCCTGTGCAGAAGCCTGCTAGCTCAGTTCGCATTTGCGGCGACTGACGGCTAATCATGCGACGACGACGACGGAACATTATCCGATTGCACGGAGAGAGATGACCTTTACGCAATTTTCTCTGGTGGACAAAAGTTCTCGAAACTTGTTCTAAGCTATGCTTATTCTCAAGTGCAGCTACAGGAATTCTCAAAAGAAATTGGCTAGCGGCATCCTGTCTCGGATTTGCCTGTCACTGTGGCCAGCCACAGGACGCCTGCACCTACAGAGGGGCCATGGCTGGCTTACGCTGCACCACCCACAGCTCCAAGCACACACCCCATATCCAGTGTAAACCCGAAGGAATAAGACCGGGAGACATGTGGATGGGAACCACGTTTCATCAACGGAGCCGGCCCACACTCCTTCACAGGCAAACACAAGCACGCTGTATTTGGGGAATCAACCGCACATAAGGCGGTGACTGGACCGTAGTCCGCCCCACACTGAGTGCATGGAACCATTAATACACACATGGGATTATTCTGCCGTAACCGATTACCATTCGGGATACACTCCGCGCTAGCAATCTTTCGGAGAATTATAGACAACTTAGTGAAAGGCATACCCGGAGTTTGTGCTTATTTGGACGATATTTTCGTTACTGGTCGTACCAACTTCGGACATATGACAGCACTTGTAACAGTCTTGAAGCGCCTTCAGGAGAGCGGACTGAAACTCAAGGAATCCAAATGTGTCTTCTTTTGTGATACAATTGAGTATCTGGCATTTCCTTTGGACAAACACGGGTTACATCCCCTATGGATAAAATTCAACCCATTCATGGTTCTCCAATATCGCGAAATATTAATGAACTGCAGTCATTTCTTGGGATGTTAACCCATTGCAGTTGTTTTTTTTACCAAATTTGGCTTGTCCCCTCACACTATTGTATACTTTACTTCGTATGAATACCATGTGGCTGTGGTTGGTTGAGAACCCTAATCGTTCTCCTGTCTAGGCCTGGGCAATCTGACAGTATTCTGCCCACGCAATACAATGACTTTCACTTCAAACAAATTTCTGATGCTCTGGCCGTCGCAGAGAATAACAAACGGCGCCCTATCTGCTGCATCGTGCAGGGTGGATAGGGGTATAGATGCTACTGCTCAGGCCTTCCCGTCTTCTTATATCCCTTCTTGCGCTTCTTCATCCTTATCGTCCCGCTGCAACTTTACTTATATCCCCCCCATTTTCAATCCACCAATTCTTTGCCCTCCCCCAGCTTACTTCAATAGTCGCTTGTCTTCTAATTTCAAATCACACACAATCGCACTGCGTCGCTCCAATCCAGTCGACAAGTCCATGATCAACCAAGCGGACAGCGTCAGTTCATCCGTTTCCCTTTGGAGTCCTCGTGTCTCGCTAAGATTGGCATGCCTCAACTTGCGCACCTTGCTGGAGATTGGCCAACAGGCAGCACTTGCCCGCACACTAGAGACCCTATCGATCGATATTTGCTGTTTATCAGAAACCCGCCTGCAAGATTCGAGCTCCATGCTTACCCTGCGATCCCCCACATGCGACACTGGCGGCACTTTCTCATTGCGCCTGTCTGGCGATGATGCAGCTTCAAATGCCGGTCAAGCTGGCGTCAGCATTGTTTTGAGTCCCCTGGCTGAAGCTGCCCTGATTGATTGGATCCCAGTAAACAGTAGGATGTGCGCCGTTAGATTAGCTGGTTCGTTCCGTGCTACGAAGTCGCGCCTGTTTGTCATTGTGACCTACGCCCATACAAACTGTAGCACTGCTTCTGTAAAAGATGATTTCTATCAGCAACTTCATGAGCTCCTTCGTTACAGAAGAAGCACGGATACTGTGGTGTTGGCTGGCGATCTAAACGCCCAAGTCGGAAAATTGTCCTCTGATGAGCTTCATCTGGGCGGCCAACATGGTGTAGGCTCCCGTAATGATAATGGTGAGCGATTGCTACAGCTGTGTGAAAATGCTCGCCTCTTTCTCGCGAGCACTAACTTTCGACACAGCACCCGCAGAAGCGTGACTTGGTGGCCACCAGCCTCGGGCCAGCCATGGACGCAAATCGACCATATCGCGATCAGTTACCGCTGGAGAGGCTGTGTCCAAAACTGTCGCTCGATTTGGAGCACGAGCGTGGACTCTGACCACGCACTTGTCTGTGCCGACCTCCTGGTGCGTTTCGGTGGACGTCCGCAACGTCGATGTGAACGCACTGACAT